TGAGCCGATCTGTCGTGGGGAAGAGGGAGCTGAGTCAGAAAGCCAGGCTCTCGATTTACCGGTCGATCTACGTCCCAATCCTCACCTATGGTCATGAGCTTTGGGTAATGACCGAAAGAACGAGATCGCGGATACAAGCGGCCGAAATGAGTTTCCTCCGTAGGGTGGCCGGGCTCAGCCTTAGAGATAGGGTGAGGAGCTCGGACATTCGGGAGGGACTCGGAGTAGAACCGCTGCTCCTCCGGATCGAAAGGAGCCAGTTGAGGTGGTTTGGGCATCTGGTCAGGATGCCTCCTGGACGCCTCCCCGGGGAGGTGTTTCGGGCATGTCCTGCCGGCAGAAGGCCCCCAGGTCGACCCAGGACACGTTGGAGAGGTTACATCTCCAATCTGGTCCGGGAACGCCTTGGGGTCCTGCCGGAGGAGCTGGTGGACAAGGCCGGGGAGAGGACGGCCTGGAGCTCCCTAATTGGGATGCTGCCCCCGCGACCCGGACCCGGATAAGCGGAGGAAGACGAAGACGAAGGTAATTACAAGCAATACCACATTTGTGCATTTTATAAAGTGAACAAAACATAACCAGTCACTGGTAGCGCCATAAAGAACAGCTGTTATTTTAACCTTAAACAAATTCTATGCATGTGAACTTTATGTATATAACCATACTGTTTCAATCTTTTTCACAGCACTATTCTTTTTACTTTTACTGTGTTATGACTGTTTTTTTTTTTTAGTTGGCTCTTTTGAATCAGCGATGGCATCCAACTGTGTGGGCCTTCAGCCGTGCCAGCGCCTTCTGGGATGTGACCATGCCAAACTTCACTCCGTCAGATTGGATAGCTCATTTCAGAATGTCAGAAGAGACCTTTTCATATCTTTGTTCCAAGCTCCGTCCAGCCATGCAGAAGAGGAACACCAACTTCAGAGCCTGCGTGCCACTCAGGAAAAGAGTTGCAATTGCACTGTGGAAGCTTGCAATTAACAGTGAATACAGGAGCATCAGGCTTCTTTTTGGTGTCAGCACGACCTCTGTGTGCCGCTGTGTGCAGGACTTCTGTAAGGCTGTCTGTAAACTCTTGCTTGCCGAGGTTATTGCTTTTCCAACTCTGCAAAAGCTACAGGAAATGGCTGACTATTTTGAGGCCAGGTGGGGGGTTCCTCAGTGTGTGGGTGCCATCGATGGTTCCCATATCCCAATAATCGCACCACAGGGATTCCACACAGACTACTTCAATAGGAAAGGTTGGCATTCCATAATCCTCCAGGGCATTGTGGATGGCAGAGGCATGTTCTGGAATGTTAATGCAGGTCAGCCAGGTAGCTTACATGATGCCCGTGTGCTGCGATTGTCCACATTTTGGGACTTGGTTGCTCATGGACAACTGCACCCAACTAGTACCAAGAACATTGAGGGAGTAAATGTAGGCTTTTATGTGCTCGGGGACTCTGCCTATCCTCTGCAGAACTGGCTCCTAAAACCATTTTCTGACAACGGTCGTCTCACTGCTGAACAACAGGCGTACAACAGGAAAACGTCCAGAGCCAGAGTTGTGGTCGAAAATGCATTTGGGAGGCTAAAGGGTAGGTGGCGATATCTTCTGAAGAGAAACGACAGTGATGTAGAGCTTCTTAAACACATGGTGCTGACCTGTTGTGTGCTTCACAATATCTGTGAGAGCCATGGGGAGGAATATACAGAATGTGTCGCACCTGTATGGCGTTTAAAGCGTGCCACAACCCGTGCACGCGCATTGGGTCCACAGCGCGCGTGTGAACGGGACTCGCGAGCGCAAATATACATGGCAGCGCGCGTGTGAACGGGACTCGCGAGCGGAAATATACATGGCGAGAGGTCATTTGTGCACTGAGAGGGAGCAAACTGTGTCTGTGAGCGCACAAGGATGTGCACAAGTGACAAACCTGCGTGCGCGCGTTGTCAACGAGCACACGGCAGAGGAAAACGTGCGCGCGCGGCAGCCTCTGTGCGCGCTCGGCAGCCTCTCTGCGCGCTCGGTTTCTGACTCCTGCTCGCTCGGCTGTAAGGCTTTTGGCACTCTGGAGGCGTGGCCTGTGGCAGATCTTCTCTGTCCTCTGATTGGTTAGTTTACCCCGCACTTTACCCTCTATCTATATAAAAAAGTCTGATATTCAGTAGTTGCTGGTGCTGGCATAGCTCAGCTGGGAGAGTGGGTGACTCTCGCCCCGGAGGATCCAGGTTCGAGTCCGGGGCAAGGAAAATGCAGTAGATGTTATGTTAATTTTTCTTAATTTCAGGTATTTTACAGTTGTGACCGTTCAACTGTCATTAAACGTCCGAATGTTTGCTGGGCAGTGTTTTAAAAAGTGCACATAAGCTAGATGGTTTTAACCATATAAAATTACATTTTTTGTGATACTGGAAAAATACATACTGAAATAAAACTACTGGTTGAAAACTTTATGACTGTGATTGTACAATATATGACTCACTAATACACTGCAAACTCCCTTAGAGTGGGGCTTCCAGAGAGAGAGAGAGAGAGAGAGAGAGAGAGAGAGAGAGAGAGAGAGAGAGGAGAGAGAGAGAGAGAGAGAGAGAGAGAGAGAGAGAGAGAGAGAGAGAGAGAGAGAGAGAGAGAGAGAGAGAGAGAGAGAGAGAGAGAGAGAGAGAGAGAGAGAGAGAGAGAGAGAGAGAGAGAGAGAGAGAGAGAGAGAGAGAGAGAGAGAGAGAGAGGAGAGAGAGAGAGAGAGAGTGAGAGAGGAGAGAGAGAGAGAGAGAGAGAGAGAGAGAGAGAGAGAGAGAGAGAGAGAGAGAAAAGTTCTTGCCTCATTAATGTATTGTTTATTTTTTCAGTATTTAATTGACAAATTATCCTTTCAAATAATTAATTGATGAGTTACATAATTGTCCATTTAGAATTGTTGAATGGACTGAGTAAAGTTTGGTGCACTTTGTTATATTTCAAAACATGTTTTTTTTATTTTAATGATGCATATAAATAATTTAAATGTTAATTTAATGAAATATTTCTATTTTTTCATTACCTCACCCTTGTTTTGACAAAAACGGAACCTTGCTGGATAATATCATGGAGGAAACTATTTGTTCACAGTACATGGCTCAGTGAGGATCTGTGTAAAGGAGGAGATACTCAGAAATCTGTCTGCAGATTGTTACAACCCAGACTGGAAGTGGTGGGCTGTAATAAGAAAGGAGACCAAACAGAGGAGTGGGGGTTCAACAACTGATTTATTTAACAAAAGTAAGGATTTACTAAAGCAAGTTAGTGAACAGAAAATGGCCAGTGAGGACTCTCCACCACACAGGAGAGACCCAGTGAAAGCAGAAAAACAGTAGGCTTTGTAGGCAGCACCACACCCTGAGCCCAGGTGCCTCCAAGGCTGCTTAACGAGCTGCCTACAACAGAAAAAAAACACAATTAAACACAAATGAAAACCCCAATGAGACGGTGGGGGGCATCACAACACGTTCAGGACTACCCAAACACCAGTAATTCTTGACTGCACTGATCTGCTTTAGTAAATCCTTACTTTGGTTAAATAAATCAGTTGTTGAACCCCCCACTCCTCTGTTTGGTCTCCTTTCTTATTACAGCCCACCACTTCCAGTCTGGGTTGTAACAATCTGCAGACAGATTTCTGAGTATCTCCTCCTTTGGTACACAGATCCCTCACTGAGCCATGTACTGTGAACAAATAGTTTCTCCATGATATTATCCAGCAAGGTCTTGTTTTTGTCAAAACAAGGGTGAGGTAATGAAGAAATAGAAATATTTCAATAAATTAACATTAAAATTATTTATATGCATAATAAAAAAAAACATGTTTTGAAATATATAAAGTGCACCAAACTTGACTCAGTCCATTCAACAATTCTAAATGGACAATTATGTAACTCACCAATTAATTATTTGAAAGGATAATTTGTCAATTAAATGCTGAAAAAAATAAACAATACATTAATGAGGCAAGAACTTTTTAAACTTGAACATACCTACACCCACAAGTCTATTTTTACCTGGTTAAAACCATCTAGCTCATGTGCACTTTTTAAAAACACTGCCCAGCAAACATTCGGACATTTAATGACAGTTGAACGGTCACAACTGTAAAATAATATCACAGGAATTAGGAAAGAATAATATGACATCAACTTTATGTTACTTGGCCGGACTCGAACCTGGATCCTCCAGAGTGAGAGTCGCCCGCTCTCCCAGCTGAGCTATGGCAGCAACTGCTGAATATCAGATTTTTTTTATATAGATAGCTAGAGAGTAAAGTGCGGGGTAAACTAACCAATCAGAGGATAGGGAAGATCTGCCACAGGCCACGCCTCCAGAGTGCCAAAACTCCTCACAGCCGAGCAAGCGGAATTAGAAACCGAGCGCGCAGAGGCTGCCGAGCGCGCACGTTTTCCTCTGCCGTGTGCTCGTTGGCAACGCGCGCACGCAGGTTTGTCACTTGTGCACATCCTTGTGCGCTCACAGACACAGTTTGCTCCCTCTCAGTGCACAAATGACCTCTCGCCATGTATATTTTCGCTCGCGAGTCCCGTTCACGCGCGCGCTGCCATGTATATTTTCGCTCGCGAGTCCCGTTCACACGCGCGCTGTGGACCCAATGCGCGTGCACGGGTTGTGGCACGCTTTAAACGCGATACACCTGCTGATGAACCAGTGGTTGCAAATATGCAGGAAGTTGCAGAGGAGGGCAGTGATGTGCGTGAAGCTCTGATGCGACACTTCACCCGCTGACCTCAGTTTGTGTTTTTTCTTTCCATTTACTTTGTTTATTGTTTTGACACTTTTAACAGTTGGAAGCCTGTAGTTTGAACTGAAATGTTTGTTTTATTTTCAGAACTTAATAAAGTACACTATTTTACTGTTAACAAACTGTTGCACCTTTTCATTTTAACATATATTTAAGGTGGGCTGTAATGTAATCTACATTTATTATGTAAATTTGCGAGCAAAAATTTTTAAGACAATTCATGTACACCTTGTTTTTCTTTGAAAATTTATTGATAAAAAGGACAGACGGATAAAAAAAATTACGGGACAAATACATAGCTCCTTACTGCCTGGGTGGTGGCAGGAAGTCAGAGGAGCTGCCCATTCTTTGTGCGACCAGTCCAAGAACAGCATTTAGGGCACCCAAATGTTCAAAATATCGCTCTGCGATCTGTAATTCATGTTCCCTTGCTGCTGCTGCGTCTTGTTGCATCCAGTTAACCTGCTCCCGGCTTATGCCTTCCATTCTGTCCATCTGCCTGCCATCTGCGATCTGCAACTCATCAAATATCACCTGTGTCCGTGCTTCCAATCGCCGTCTTCGGTCACCTGGAAACAACAACATTGACAATTACATTTGTGTTTATATGGATAACAAAATGTCAGTTGTCCTGTGAACTTGTCAGTTTTGTTTATGCACAAAGCAATTTTTAGAATGGTCAGACACTACCTGTGCGTCGACGACATGGTAGATGTTCCTCTCGAGTGGTAGTGGACAGAGGTGATGGTGGTGGCGATGGAATTGGCCGAGGCGATGGTGGCACAGAAGGTATGGACAGAGGTGATGGTGGCACAGAAGGTCCTGGAGTGCTACTTGAGGAAGTGGATGGTTCCTCTGAAGAGGGAGTGTTTTCCGCTTCAGATGTGTCTGAAAAACACAGATCAAAAAATTAGTCAGTAAGAAAAAATCACGAAATAAATCGGTAAGAAAAGCACAATATTTTTACAGCAAAAGAGCACGTAGGCATATAGTAAACTTAATAAAACTGCTATGAGTTAAGGCCATTTTGTCATTTGGAACGTGTCCACTAGATGGCAGTAATTCGCCAGTGACGTACAGATTAATTGCAATTTAATGTTATATTCTTATTCATCCGAAAAATATATACTTGTTAAAAGTCCACTCTAGGCGAAAAACACTGCTGGCACGACTTTTGGGATATTTATAATATTAGATCAGCTCGCTTCTCCTCACTGTGCGTGCTCAGCTGTATAAAACAATGAGATGCAAACAACACTGAGATGCTAACGTGAAAGGCTAACCGAATTTCCCATGTTTTAAACAATGAGACGCTAACAAGAAAGGCAAACTCCGCTCCAGCCTCATGTACTCAACAAGGACATGCTAAACATGAAAGGCTTATATCGCGAACAGCGTGTTAAGAAACACGGGGGAATGCTAAATGAAGGTTAGCATAAACACGAGGGGATGCTAAGGCTAGTTAACACGAGGGGCTAAATCCTTTACTTGCTGAGCATTTCTTAAATAGCTGCTGCTATTATTCAGTGTTTTTGGTGCTGCAATGAATGGCCTGCAGAGCTAAAAAGACAACAAAAGAAATGCTTACCAACAGGGTTTATGAGTGACTCCAGGATACTGGTCGCTGAGTCCAGGCCTCCTTCGCTGCCTCGGTTTGACGGTCTGTGTCCATAAATAGCGTCCACCACATCGTACCACTTCCATGTACTTCGCCCATTCCCACTACGGCCGTTGCTGTCCTTAACTTTTCTGTAGTGGGCTTTCATTTTTTTCAGCTTAGCACAACACTGCTCGGAGGTGCGCTGGAATCCTTCAGCTGCCATGCGCTGAGAAACTTCTTTGAAGACTTTCTCATTTCTTATCATCCCATCCAGCTCGGCCTGAATGTTGCTATCTCCGATGATGGTGAGGAACGTTTGAAGCTCCACATTGGACCAAAAGCTATTACTCGCAGGCATTTTCACACACAAGAAGTACAGCCAAACAAACACTGGAACTCGACTCACTTCTTTTTCCATCCCCTGGGATTGTCGCGGGTAGTTACGTAATTTCTCCCCCAATCAGAGGACTCTGGACCTTTTACGCTGTGGCTCCGCCCAGACCAAAACTCTCTGGACCCACAACAGAAGGGGTCCCGCTCTGGCCCGCTACTGGACCGGTTCGGGTAAGTTTCCTGGACTGGTTTAAACAATCGAAACAAAATATTTAGTGACCCGATCCTTCCCATTCCATGCCAGTTTGGTCGGTGGAAAAGGCCTATAAGGTGTCACATTCAATTTCTCACTTTGTGATGTACACGACTGCAGCCAGGAGCACAGATGCTGCATGAGCAGCTGAACAAACTCTTGTGCCAGGTGACAAAGACATGTCCAATAGAGGTTCTGGTCAGCAGGGAGCTGCTCCTGTGTACTGTCCCAGTCAGAAGTTATTTCCACGGCTTTGGATCGCTACAATGTCAAACACACACACACACACACACACACGAGAGGATATGGAGGAGGCTGGTTTGGACTTGGAGAGACATGACTCCTTTCAAGACATGTGGATGGATTTGAAGGAATAATGTTTACTCCGCTTGGGAGTCACCGTGTTTCTGCAGCCAGTTGAGTCCTATAACAAGAGGAGACTGTTTGAGACACTGTGCTTGAGCTTTGCCTGTTAAACAAGTGCGATCAGCCTCCTATTTGGACAAGTGTTGTCATGGTCTGCGTCAGCCCCTTCCCTTTTTGTGCCTCCTGGTGTCCTCCATCCCTCTCTAGATTCCCTCTTGTGTCCTTTTGTTCCCCAGCTCCTCTTGTGCTCCACTCCAGGATCTCCCCTTGTGCTCTCTTAGCGCCCTCATGTGTCCTTGTCTGCATCCCTGTTATGTGTCTTATGCTGTAGCTCTTTGGCGCCCTCATGTGTCCTTTTTCTGCGTGTCAGTTTAGTGTCTTATGTTTGTAGTCCTTTACGTCTATTCCTCCCAGGTCTTGTGTCGTCTCGTTCATCCCCAGGTCATCCAGGTCTCATTTACATTCTGTGTCCTTTTAGTCCCCAGCTTCTTTGTCCCCAGCTCAACGTGTGTGTGAGATTCAGCCTCCTGCTCAGTATTTGTGTGTAGTTCTGTGTGTGTGTGTTAGTCCTTCCCGCAGCCCTTAGGTTTAGTTTTGGTGTCTTAGAGTTTCTTAGGTTTATTTGGCCCTCCTCTGTTTCTGTTTGCCCATTTTGATTATTAGGTTCACCTGTCTTCCCGCCAGCTCTCACTTCACACACCTGCTGCCATTTTCCCTAATCACTTCTCCCTGTGTATATAAGCTCTGTCTGGTCTGTGTCTGATGTCGGTTCATTGTGGTATGTTGTCTGCGTTGCTCGTGCTCTGTATGAACTTTGTCTCCAGGTTTTTGTGCTCTATGAAGAGCTTTGGGTGTTCCTGTTCTCCAGGACGTTTTGGACTTTGGCTCGCTGCCTCGGATTACTTTTTTTCTTTGTCCTAAACTAAAAGGATTTTACTTTGAACCACCTTCTGCCTTTTGACATCCTGGGTTCTGCGTCTTGGGTCCAAACCATCCTCCTCAAATCGTGACAAGTGTCATCTGTGGCACACCTGAAAGTGCAGTACAAATTTGAAGCCAATCGAACAAAAAAAATTCCAACCTATTGCCCCTTTAATTTTTTAGCTCCGGTCACTTTAAAATCATTTTCTTCTAAACCGTAGGTGCTGAAATGACCGTTCCAGTTAAAAAGGATTCATTTTTAGTCCCCCCAAAGACACATCCTAGTTTTACAGCTGTTGCATTACCTCTAGGGCAGTCTAGCTGACCTCTGCACGCCAAGATGATCCTTCCCATTAGGTTTGGCTGGCTGGAGGAGGTGAAGTCATCCAAAGTGTGTTACTGTGGACCCAAAGAGGAGCTTTTAGTTGTTTTTTGCACAAGCATTAGCTGAGGCTTAGCTTTTAAATAGATTTGAGCCAACACTCACCTGAGATGCTGCACGATTAGCATGAAGGTTTAATGGGTTATCTGGTGCAGAGCTAGTCTCCCAGTCTTCCAGCAGGTGCATCCATGTTTCACGGTGTCTAATCCTTAAAGGATGCTTCTGATCTCCTACTCAGGTGTGACAGTCATGCAGTGGTGACGTTTTTACCGCGTGTCTCTGCTATGTTTTGGTCACGTGAACTCCTGCGCAAAGCTGCTGTCACAGACGCGCGTTTTGCTGAGTCCGGGGAGCGATCAGATCGTTCCAAATGATTGTGCAGTGTCCAGGAGCCTTCTGTCCATCAACACATGTGTAGATTTCAATGATCATACCACTAGACTATCTGCTAACGGCTTGCTGTCTGCGCAAAGCTCACCACCATCTCCGTGCGCACAGGTGGTTCACGCTTGGCTGCCTCCTCTTGTCGTGTCCCGTTTAATGAGCGCAGCTGCCCAGAGATTCCCGTTACATCCGTCCTCTTGTCGTTTTATCAGGTTAGGTAGGTGTGCAGTGTTTCCCGTTACATCCGCGGTGTTGTTGTGCGCTCCCAGCTGACATCCGTGTCCCGCTCCATTGGCACAGTTGTCGCGCGCTTCTCCGCTCCGCCCAGTCACCGGTATTGGCTCAGTTGGCACGCGCTTTGTGGTTATCTCCGCCCAGTCACCGGCCAATTACCTCTTTCTTGGAGTTCATCTACAGGTAAGCATCGTGTCCACGTTTCTCTGTAATAATTAAATGGTTTAAAGTGCAATTTTACCCTGAACAGTGAATAGAACATGTGCATGAAGTTGTCATCTAGTAGTGTTTGTCATGTTAAAGTTGTAGTTCCTTGCAGTAAGCTCAACAGAGTGCTAAAATCCACCTTTTCTCACAGTGAAATGAGTGCAAATCAATCTCATTTAATAAAATGGAAAGAGTTTAGCAGCACAACACACATATAAACTACAGGTTGTATATATATAAATGACTACAATGCATAACATGTCCAAAAGTGTTTGAACCTTTTAATAAGCTGTGCAGGAAGTTCTCTTAAAGCAAAGGTTTTTAGCCACTAGAGGGTGTCATTTTGTAGTCTTTGTCATGTTAAAGTTGTAGTTCCTTGCAATAAGCTCAACAGGTTAGCTGTTACACTGTGTTATTACATTTATGACAGCTTGACATGAGCACACACCAGTGTTTACACAGGATTTGGTGTGGAACAAAGCATTTACTGGACAAGGAGACTTCTGTGACTTTGTGTAGCTTCACACAAGGGTCAAAAATTAACACTTTCTTCTATTTCCCGTCCTTAGACACACTGACATCATACATCAAACATACATACCTTAGTGACCATGGCATCCAAGTACCACAACTGCCCCATCTGTGGCCGCCCCTTCGCAGCTCTCTCCCCCATCTCAAAAGGGCCCACAAGGTGGACAACGGCGAGGAGCGTCAGCTGCTGCTCAAGCTGGCAAGCAAGTGGGTGTTCTTCCGTTATGAGCCCTGCCCCGTCTCTGGGTGCACCTACATGTCGTCCAGGTGTGACAAACACCTGGAAAGCAGCCACCCGGAGCTCTCCAAGGAGCAGCTGCAACGGGCTGTAGACACCGCCCAGAGACGGGTGACCATCCTCCAGCTGGCAGCCCTCAGGGCCACTGCCCCTCACCCGCCAATGGTCAGCCAGCTGGACCAGGAGGAGGACGACTCTGACGTCTGGTCAGAGGAGGAGGCGGAAGCGCAGGCCAGCTGCCAGGGCTGCAACACCCTCCAGCGCAAGTACGATGGTGTCAAGCAGCAGCTGGACAACCTGCGGAAGACCTTCCGCCTCTACCACCGCAGGGTCTCCAGGTTCGAGCGGAGGACTGGGAAAGTGAGTTACACATGCTTATAAATTCTATTTAACTCATGAAATAATACTCAGCAAGCACGTGATCAAGTTGCTCCTTTAAACCACGTGTTTTATCATTGAATTTTTTCTGATGTACAGCACTTTGTGCTGTCTCTGACTGCTGTAAATGTGCTATATTTATAAACTGGACAGTGACATTCACATGTAATAACCATTTTGTTTATTTTTCTTGGCTTTTTTGTTTTTTTTTTAGAAAATCACTAAAGACCTCCCTGTTCCGGAGGAGGTGGACGTGCGTCCATCCCCGTCAGCCGCAGCAACGCAGAGCCCGGGAGGAAGTTCTGCTGCAGCTGGCAGACGCCCTTCCACCCAGCACGCTGTCAGACGCCCTTCCACTCAGCACGCTGTAGACGTCCTTCCTCCGTGCACGTCCGTCCACCACCGCCTGCCTTGACCTCTTCTTCTGAGACCTCCTCACCTTCATCGTCACCGACAACCTCCCCACCATCACCACCACCACTCTCCCCACTCTCCCCACCATCACCACCACCGTCCCGGCCATCCAAGACGCCCAGGGTCTCTTGGGAAAGCGTCTCGGCAGGCGTCGGCGGACAGGCCGGCAGCGTCGCCCCGTCCTCTGGCCGGAGCGAAGGAGGGGACTCTGCTCCACCGGCCAAGAGGACCAGGAAGGTGCACCACACCGGTGGCAGCCCGTCTTCCCCGGAGGCCAACCAAGAGCCCCTGTCGCCACGGGAGTTGGCAACGACGCCTCGCCCGAGTCCCGCCTCGTTGCTGTCCGGGTTCTCGGCAGCGATGGGTTAGTTTTCTTATCTGTTTACCTCACGTCTCGATGAATATCCTTCCCAAAGGATTCCTCCTTGTTAATTGCTACGTGAACGTGTCTCCACAGATCAATACCTTGACGACTACCGCTGCTTCCTCAAAGGGGTCCAGCACACACACAAGCAGGTGGACAACGTGGCCTCCAAAGTCATGAGGGTCAGGAGGTTCCTGAATTTCATGGCGGTGGGGGCCCTTAAGGTGTGGGACTGGACCTTCCTGTCACGCACGCAGGTCATCGTGGAGTAAGTGTACATCACCTGCAGTCAGGCAAAATCACAAAGAAAAACAAAGTGTTGAGCTTTTTCTATTATGTTCTCTTCAGGTGGGTCGGGCATCTGAGGAAATGTGGCAAGAAGGTGACCACCGTCACCTTCTACCTCAGGAACATTTACTCCTTTATGAGGTACTTCAAGGAGACGCCACCACCTCAGTGCCGGCTGAAGAGCACGCAGGTCACTGCAGTGATGCGCACCATCCTGCAGTGCATCAGGCCTCTTCTCAGGGATGTCAGCGTACATCAGATGAAGGTGAAGACGGCCAAACAGTTGCGGCTCATCCCCGCATCCGATCTCCGCCTCTGCTGCGAGCGCTGCCGTCAGGCCATTCCCGGGGTGCTGGGTAAGAATCGGTGATGTCGGTGTTTACGCTTTGGAGGATGTCACGATGGGTGACAGGTTCTGTCGAGCGGAGATGTTAAACAGAGCTCACTTGTGTTTGATCTTCACAGAACAAGTGGAGAAGGAGCCGAGGGACCCGAAACTCCGCCACAGCTTGTTCGGCTA